CACACACACACACACACGCACGCACGCACGCATGCACGCACGCACGCACACACGCACCATGCAAGTAAAGTGGCATTATGTGATTTATATTGGAATGTATGTTTCTTATAATTTTTTAATATAATTATGTGTCTTTTCTGAAAGCTTACACTATTTCTCATCTAAACTGAGAATGTCCAGCTTAAACCCTTTTGTTGTTACTTCCCAAATCTACTTCTAATAATACTTAATAAATGGCACTCATAGACACTAATTTACTGGTATCTTCTGGAGAAAAGGTAACATTTACAGCTAGAGCCAGAATGACAGGTTGTTTTACACCTCACAAGCGCTGCTCTTTGTCTGTTGTGGGGGAGGTACATCCAAAGGTAAGATATTTATTTAACTTAGACTTCCACAAGTGAGAGTAAGACCAAAGGACATACAGGTATTATTTTCCACTCTGTGCTGCCATCAAAATAACCAATTGGGCAACTGCAATCAGCAGCATAACATACTCGAGGCTGAGGACCAAGTGTCAAGAGACTCAACATTTCCCTTAGCTGGTCTGTTGTCTAAGTGAGAGACATTGAATGTACACTGGAGAAGACAAAGATTTAAGACAGTGAAGGTTAACTGTAAGTAGAGAAATCCTCCAGGATTTTAAAGGGAAAAAATATTGTTCTTCTCTGAGACGATGCAGAAATCCCTTCATATGAGGTGGAACTACAGGTAGACAAAGTGAACTTTAGGTATATAGAGAAGCATGAATGGAATTTGAGACATTCAGCTTGGAGCAAATGCCACTAGGTCAGACAACATTTTGCACTCAAGTGTCTGTGAATTTGTGTAGGCAGATTGGAAAAAATAATACAGGCCAATAAAATTTTCCAAGAATTTTGGAGGAAAACAGACTCATTCCAAGTTATTTATCTCTGTTATACTAATCTCTGCTTCCCAATAGCCTCCATGACCTTCTTAAGGAGTTTTTTGCCTTAAAACATGAGATTGGTTGGGAGTGTGCCTTCTTTGGCCAATCTTCAGCCAAAGAATGCTCATCACTGGCTTTCTTATATCCCATAGGAATCTTCATGATATTTCTCTAAAGAAGAAAAACATTTTAGTGCAAAAATAACACATACAAAATTTGCTAAATGAAGTAGACTAGAAGAGCCACATAGAAGTCACCATGTCCCTGGTGATGTACTGTCAATGAGGACTAGTCTGTGGGCAGAAGTACCCTACCATGAGTTAAGTGTGATACAATGAAAATATCAGTAGAAGGAAGAATGAATGACATTCTGGTAGTCCATTAAGTGAATAGGAACCATTTTATTTGTTATAATTAGTGAGAAATAAGACAAGATTGTTGAAGATCATGGCGACTGTGGGAACCTGAGAAACAAGAGATAGTGATATTGACAAACGCAAGAAACATCAGAAATCAATTGACTTGAGAAAGGTGTGATGAGTCCCATTATAAGCAGACCATTTCAGATTCCAGTGACATTCCATTGTAAGTTGTCTATAAATCAATCATAGATATCTTAGTGATCAGCCCTGGACACATGCACATAAGAGCATCACTAAATGGACTCAATAAGATATATATATATATATATATATATATATATATATATATATAATATATCTATTATATATATGTGTGTGTGTGTGCGTGCACACATATGTGCATATGTATGTATACATGTAACAATAATAATTAAAGAAGAGATCACGAATTTTGGAAAGTGTAATACAGTGTAGATGGGATAGGATAGGTAGGAGTAATCTATATGTAGTTCTCACGTATAAAACTCCCAAAACATAAATTAATAACATGCATGTTATTGAAACACAGGACAATTGTAACTGACTATAATTTTCAAGTAATTAGTGAAATATACCCTGCAATACCAACAACTACAAATGTGTAATCACACAGGTTAATATGATATATTAACAAAAGAAATAGATATTAACAATAAAACATCTTCTCAAGGTCAGGGAAGATAGTAAGACTTGTGAATCATTCTGAGAGGAGTAGCAGTGATGCCTAAAAGAGATAACTAAATCTCTCCAAGCGATGCTGTGTAGTAAAGATGCTTCCAGACGGACTATGGACACCAGGTTCCCCTAAATAGGAAGAAAGATAATGATGATGAGAGGAGCAGATATCTGTGAACTTG